AAACAACCTATTCACCTTCATTATCATTATCGATAGTGATTGGGCTAGCAGATGTTTTCTCTTGAGGAGGGAGCTCGATAATCTTAGAGTCCAAAAGTTCCTGAATTTTATCTTTCAGAACAAAGCACTCCTTTATCGAATGGCTAATCAAACGATGGTAAGGGCAATACTTTGGATCGTTGGTCTTTCCTACCTCATATGGTCTTTTCACCTTAGGGAGAGCAATCAACTTTTGCTCCAACAGATCTTCAAATAGGTCTTCAACCAGATCATCCGTGAAAGAATATTTCTTCTCCAACCTCTCTTTCATAGTCACCTTTTTAAATTCCTTGGGCTTTTTAGTCCCTACTACAATGGGATCCTTCTTTTTGGTTTCAATTATAGCTGCAGTCGAGGACTCAACCCTTTCAACAGCTCTAGGCCTTCTTCGTTTAGTTAGATGCAGCTCCATATCATGAGCTTTAGTGCATAGATCGTTGAATCCTTCAAAAGTTTGAGCCATAAGAGCCGTAAAGAGCTCATGTCGGAAGTTGTTAAGGCACATCCGAATTAACTCTAATTGCGTAAACTTTAAAGGACAGGCAAATGTCAATCAGTTCTGGTACTCCAACTCGTCTTTATGTGTTGCAGAACTGTTTAAGGAACTCTTTCACCATGGAATCCCAATTTGGGATTGATCCCTTAGGAAGATTAGCATACCAAGTAAATGTAGAACTTTCAAGTGATTGGACAAATAGCTGCAAGCACAGGGCCTCATTCTGGGCTATTGGCCCACATCTTAAAAGAAAATGAGCCATATGTTGTCTTGGATCTCCTGTTCCATGAAACATTTTGAAATCTAGTTGGGAAAAACCAAAAGGGATGGAACAGCATCTACCTATGCTGGGTAAGGTTTTGTAATTATTCGAAAGTTCTCATCATCTTTTTCTTTGACTTTCTTTACTTGTCTCCTCACCATATCATCAATCATGGCCATGAGCATTAGATTCATACCACCACTAATTAGATCAAAGTAACAAGGACCATTACCCCATGGGGCTAGTGTGCTTTGTATGCCTATGGATGTCCCCACAACAGGTTGTGTCATTTGTTTCGGTGTACTTCTTATTCCTGTTATTTGGGCCTACAACTGTTGTATTTGCTCCAACATAACAGCCATTTCCCGTTTTCTTCTCTCGAGTTATTCTTGTAGGGCCACCACTTTTTCCTTGAGACCTTGGTCTTATTGAACCTGTAAATTTTCACCTTCTTTCTCAACCTCAGTCATCATAACTGCGACTTTGTTGACATCTCTCAATTCATTATTTTCAATATTCGTTGAAACAGACGAGATAGAATCATCTTGTTCGTACAGAGGATTATCAACCCCCACAACATTACTCATATTTGAAGCATTTGACTGCGATGCTTTGTTTTGAGTCTCACGGGTTATAGACCTTGTTACAGGCCCTTTTCTTATTCCCTCCATAGATAGTTCGATCAAGGCATAAATATTTCCTAAGGGTTGCTTACCCTCCTCCACCTTTGACTTTCCTACGAAGACAGGACTTTTAATTTGTTTTTGGCGTTCATCTTTCGAGAGAGCCTTTTCAATAGCTCCTATAACATTTGTCGCCACTGTTCTTGGTTCCAGTTTCTTTAAGGCTTTATTTCTTCTGCGCCTTTGTCTTTTCAAAACTGGACCATTTGATGATATATCAAATTGAGCCCCTAGGGGCATAGAAGGAACCGTTTGCGTTTTTGCAACTTCCTCATGAATTTTCAAAACAGCCCCTACAGTTTTAGAGTAGACCAATTAATGTTGATTCAAATCCCGTCAGGCCAACAAGTGTTCCTTGTTCAGACCCTGTTAGGCTAACGGGTGTTCCTCATTCAAACCCTGTCGAGCCAACGAGTAACAGTTTTTTTAAGCTAGAAGGGAAGCGGAACATTAGGCAAAAGTAAATTTTGAAGAGCGAGAAATACATATCATTCGCAACTCAGGTGATGATGAGAAAGCAAAAGTTGAAGCTAGAAAGGAAGCGGAACATCAGGCAAAAGTAATAGTCTCTTTAAAAGATAAGGGTTTTGAAGCTCGTCAAAATTTGATTATTGAAAGAAATCAAATTTCTAGACACCCTTTCCCTAATTGGGTCGAATGGGTTCAGTTCCCATGAGGATATACAGTACCTCATTTTCCCTTATATAATGGGACAAGTTGTCCAAGGCACCATTTGGTTCATTTCCTTGCACAATCTGGAAACACAGTAAAAAGCCAATCATTACTTCTACGGCAGTTCGTTCTTTCTTTGGAGAGGTGGGCAGCAAATTGGTACTTCAGCCTGCCACCTAATTCAATCCCAGATTGGGACACGATAGTTGATCGATTCTATAGGACATTTTATAAACCATGGCTAATAGAAATCGAGATGTTAGAACATTTGGAGGACAAGGGTATATCTTCTCAAACATATGATTTCATAGAAGACACAATTGATGAGACGATTAAAACTGCCCTTGATCTTCGAGAGATGGGCACTTATCGCCCAAGGGATTTGTTCCCTTTGTGGGTAGAGCAAACACCATTTCCCGAAGGATACGAACTTCCAAATTTTGTCCTATATGAAGGGTATGGAGATCCTCAAAAACATATTAGGCATTTTTTGAAACAGTCTGGGGAAACGGCTCAGAATCAAACACTTTGCCTACAATAATTCCCCCTTTCTTTGAAGGGAATTACCTTTGATTGGTATTGCTCCCTCGAAGGGGTCGTGGGACCTTGTTGGGAGGCCATGAAGAACGATTTTGTAGAATCCCAATGCTTTTATACGCGTGACTCCCGATACCTAAGAAATGAGAGAATAATGCAGCTCCAGGAAGACGGAGAAGTGACTAATGATGATGATCACCTTGCAGCTGGACCAGTTAACATGGTCCAAATAGGTAAGGGAACAAAAGAAGTTAAGGTCAACGAAAAGGCGGTTACTGAAGTATGCCAGACTTACTTGACCTACCGGTGAAAATTACGAAATCCTCAGGACCCTCAAACGTCAGAAATTCCACAGGTTTTACTGGAGGAAGAGCAAGTGAAATATGATGTACTAGCTCATCTAAAGAAAATTCCAGCATTGTTGAGCGTATATGATGCACTGAAAATGTCTCAAGAGCTTCAAAAGTCTTTAATATACGCCTTGTCCAAGCCAGAGGATTTCCACAAAGAAATAGAGGGTAGAAATCAAGAGAAAACAACTACATGCATGGCTATGGTAACCTTTGATGACAATGACATGTGTGTTGAAATGGCAGACCATAATCGGCCTTTGTTTATCACTGGGCTTATCCATGATATGAAAATTTTTCGAATTTTGGTTGATGGAGGATTTGCGGTAAACCTTCTACCTTGAAGGGCCTTAAACCTATTAGGGATTTGAATTTCACAACTACGCCCAAGTCGTCTAGTCATTTAAGGATTTAATCAGAATGAACAACGCCAAATGGGGAAGATTGAATTGTGGACCAAGTTTGGAGATATTGAAGAAAACACTGAGTTCTTGGTCATTGATGTAGACACCTCCTACAATGCTTTGCTTGGGAGACCATGGATGCATAATCATCATGCAGTACCATCAACTTATCACTAATGTATCAAGTACCCGTTGCCTTCACCCAAAAAAAAGGGGACAATTGTGGCTGACAATGATCCATTTGGAGAAGTAGAGGCCTATTATGCTGATGCTCGCTTTTATACAAAGACTTCACAAAGAAAAGGAAAAGATGTGAAAAAGTCTGAAGATACTCCGAATGTCAAAGACGGTCTAGAGTCTACTCCGGTTTCAACAAAAATAACTTTTCGATATGTGCCAAAGTCCGAAAGGAAACCGGGGGCAAAGGCTCGATCCCTAATAAATCCAATTTTGGATCTCAAAGGTGAGTTCATGTTATCATTAAGAAGGACAAAATGCACCTATGTGGAGAAATATAATAAGATTATTGCCCATTCTAAAGGAAAAAGGTCGAAACGTATCATATTCCACTCACTTAGAGATGTTGAACAAAAAGTGAAAGTTGAACAAGTGCCAGAAGAAAACATCTTGAGTTTTGAGGAGCCTAATTACACAAATGTTGGTAAAAGTTGGTTTAGATCCTGAAAAAATACCAGGAACAATGACACCCTTTGACTTTGCATTAACACCTTCGCAGAGGTATGCTATCCAGCAAGGCGATATTATCACCGCTAGGACAGAAGGCTTAGGCTATCGGGGGGATGAGGAAAAATTTCCAATAAATGGAAACACAATAAAAAGCCAATCATTACTTCTACGGCAGTTCGTTCTTTCTTTGGAGGGGTGGGCAGCAAATTGGTACTTCAGCCTGCCACCTAATTCAATCCCAGATTGGGACACGATAGTTGATCGATTCTATAGGACATTTTATAAACCATGGCTAATAGAAATCGAGATGTTAGAACATTTGGAGGACAAGGGTATATCTTCTCAAACATATGATTTCATAGAAGACACAATTGATGAGACGATTAAAACTGCCCTTGATCTTCGAGAGATGGGCACTTATCGCCCAAGGGATTTGTTCCCTTTGTGGGTAGAGCAAACACCATTTCCCGAAGGATACGAACTTCCAAATTTTGTCCTATATGAAGGGTATGGAGATCCTCAAAAACATATTAGGCATTTTTTGAAACAGTCTGGGGAAACGGCTCAGAATCAAACACTTTGCCTACAATAATTCCCCCTTTCTTTGAAGGGAATTACCTTTGATTGGTATTGCTCCCTCGAAGGGGTCGTGGGACCTTGTTGGGAGGCCATGAAGAACGATTTTGTAGAATCCCAATGCTTTTATACGCGTGACTCCCGATACCTAAGAAATGAGAGAAGGATGCAGCTCCATGAAGATGGAGAAGTGATTGATGATGATGATCACCCTGCAACTGGACCAGTTAACATGGTCCAAATAAGTGAGGGAAAGCATTCAGGACTCCGAGAGGAGTCTTTTGCTATAAGATAATGCCTTTTGGCCTGAAAAATGATGGGGCCACGTATCAAAGGGTGATGACTGTAATTTTCGATGATATGCTCCATGACACCATCGAATACTATGTTGATGATCTTGTCGTCAAGACAAAGGAAAAGAAAAACCATGAGGAAGATTTGAGAAGAATTTTCGAATGTTTGAGGAGATACAAACTCAAGATGAACCCACTAAAATGTGCATTTGGACTTTCCTTAGGAAAATTTCTTGGGTTTGTGGTTCGAAACAAAGGGATTGAAGTAGACCCTACCAAGATTAAAGCCATTGCTAAAATGCCTCCTCCACGAAATTTAAGGCAATTAAAGGGGCTACAAGGGAGATTGGCCTATATCAGAAGATTTATTTCTTACTTGGCTGGTCGATGCTTGCCATTCTCAAGATTGATGAAAAAGGGTGTTCCATTTGAATGGGATCAGCAGTGCCAAAATGCTTTAATAGTATTAAGGAGTATCTATTGAAGCCTCCAGTACTCATGAGCCCAATAAACGGGAAACCACTCTTGTTGTACATAACAGCCCTGGATGGTTCGTCAGAGGCACTATTGGCATAACACAATGAGCATGGTAAAGAAAATGCCTTGTATTACTTGAGTCATACTCTGATTGGGGCAGAAGTCAATTATTCTCCTATCGAAAAGACATGTCTTGCCTTGGTGTTCGCCTTGTAAAAACTAAAGCACTATGTCTTGGAACACGAAGCCAAGTTGATATCAAGAGCAGACCTCTTGAAATATATACTTTCACAGCCCATACTTTCAGGGAAAATTGCAAAGTGGGCTGTAATTCTCCAACAATTCGCAATTGAATATGTTCCCCAAAAAGCTGTAAAGGGGCAGGCTTTAGCAAATTTTTTCGCAGCACATCCTGTACCTGATGACTCACCTCTAGTAATTGATTTACCAAATGAAGAGGTTACACAAGTAGAAATCCAGAAAGGATGTGAGATGTATTTCGATGGAGCTTCAAGAAGTCCAGATGGCAAGAAGCAAGAAAATCCTAAAAACAATAAAGCTGGAATTGGAATTGTGTTTGTGACTCCAGACAATGCTATAATCACCCATTCTTTTGTCTTAAGTGAAGGATGCTCCAATAATGAGGCAGAATATGAAGCTATAATTGTTGGATTAAAATTGGCATTACAAATTCCTATTGAAAAACTATCAATTTATGGAGATTCAGAATTGGTGGTAAAGCAACTCCGTGGAGAGTACATTGCTAAGAAAACAAGTCTCATCCCTTATCGTGAAAAGGCTGATCAATTAATTTCACAATTTAGGAAAACACATATTTTCCACGTGAAGAGAAGAACAAATAGTCAAGCGGATTCACTAGCAAGTTTGGCTGCGTCACTCACCCTACTAGATAGCAAAATAATTACTATCACAGTAGGCGAAAAAAGGGTGTTTCAACCTTTAAAAGAGGTTTTTGACTTGGTTCCAATCTTAGTCATTACCACGAAAGGAGAAAGTAAGAAGGATTGGCGAGAACCATTCATAGCTTACCTTCAACATGGTAGGCTACCTGAAGATATAGTAAAAAGAATTGAAGTGAGACATAGGGCTACCAAATTCATCCTATGGAAAAATGGGTTATACGAAAGGTCTTTGGATGGAATGTACATTCGGTGTATAGCCAAGGAGCGTATTCAAGAGGTAATGGCAGAAATACACATAGGTGTATGTGGGGCACACCAAAGTGGTCCTAAATTACATATGCAGCTAAAATAGTTGGGATACTATTGGCCGACTATGATTGCAGATTGCATAAATTATGCTCGAAGATGCCAAGTCTGCCAATTCCATGAAAACTTTCTCCACCAACCTCCAGAGCCTTTACATTTAACAACTTGTTCTTGGCCATTTGCAGCATGGGGTATGGACATTATTGGTTCTTTTGTACCTCCATCTTCATCAAGATATCGACACATCTTAGCTGCTACTGACTATTTCTCAAAATGGGCAGAGGCCGTGGCTTTAAAGAATATAAAAAGCACAGTTGTCTCTGAGTTCACCCGAACCCATATCATTTATAGGTTCGAGATTCCAGAAAGTGTCATCATGGACAATGGATAGCTGTTCAGGAGTGATGCTTTGAACAAGTTATTTGCCAAGTACAAAATCAAAAACAACCATTCATCAAGATATCATGCACCGGCCAATGGTTTGGCAGAAGCTTTTAATAAGACATTGTGCAAAATTCTCAAGAATATGGTTGATAAGAACAAAAGAGCTTGGCACGAAAAGTTACAAGAAGCTTTGTGGGCTTATCGAACTTCGCACAGAACTCCTACTCAAGCAACCCCTTATTCGTTGGTTTTTGGAGAAAAAACAGTGTTACCACTTGAGGTTCAAATACCATCATTGCGAGTGGCAATGCAAGAGTCCTTAATAGAAGATGAAAGTGTAAGAGTGAGGTTGGATGAGCTCGAGACCCTAGATGAAAGAAGATTGTATGCTCAACAGAGCTTGGAGTTCTACCAACAAAGGATGGCAAATGCATTCAATAAAAGAGTGAGGCTTCGCTCCTTTAAAAAAATAAACTTGGTACTAATGCTTAGAACACCCATAGTATTCTCATGAAGAACTAAAGGAAAGCTTGAGCTCAAATGGGAAGGACCTTATGTGATTGAGGCGGTTTATTCTAATAGGGCCTATTTGTTGATAATGATGGATGGTGACAAAATCATTCCCCCAACCAATGTAAGGTTCTTGAAGAGATATTACCCTTAAGAAAGCCTGCTAGGTTGAAAACCCGAAAGGGTGGCTTAGGCAAAAGTTAGGGAGACAAAAAAAAAAAAATAAGTTGAAGGCCACCAACGGTATTGTATGTGGTTAAACTGCTAAAATACCCCATCGAAATCTAAGGTGGTAAAACATTGGATACTCCTGGCCCGCAAGAGTATAAACTGTGTATGGCCAAACATACGTCGAAGACCACCAATGGTGTTATATGTGGTTAAATTGCTAAAATACCCCACCAAAATCTAAGGTGGTAAAACATTGGACACTCCTGGCCCGCAAGAGTATAAACTATGTACGGCCAAATGAAAAAAAAAAAAAAAAAGGGTCAGTGAAGGCAAAATGTCATAATATAAAGAAATTGACGAAAGCCCCTTGTTAAGGAATCAAGTCGTTGGGGTGACAGACACATTCACTGCCAAGGAATCAAGCCGTTGGGGTGACGGACACATTCACCGCCAAGGAATCAAGCCGTTGGGGTGATAGACACATTCACCGCCAAGGAATTAAGCCATTGGGGTGACAGACACAATCACTACCAAGGAATCAAGCCGTTGGGGTGACGGACATATTCGCTGCCAAGAAATCAAGCCGTTGGGGTGATGGACACAATCACTGCTAAGGAATTAAGTCATTGGGGTGAAGAACACAATCACTGCCAAGGAATCAAGCCATTGGGGTGAAAGACATAATCACTGCCAAGGAATCAAGACATTGGGGTGAACGACACAATCACTGCTAAGGAATCAAACCGTTGGGGTGACAGACACAATCACTGCCAAGAAATCAAGCCGTTGGGGTGATGGACACAATCACTGCCAAAGAATCAAGCCGTTAGGGTGAAGGACACAATTACTGCCAAGGAATCGAGCCATTGGGGTGACGGACACAATCACTGCCAAGGAATCAAACCGTTGGGGTGACGGACACAATCACTGCCAAGGAATCAAGCCGTTGGGGTAACGGACACAATCACTACCAAGGAATCAGGCCGTTGGGGTGAAGGACACAATCACTGCCAAGGAATCAAGCCATTGGAGCGAAAGGACACATTCAATGCCAAGGATTCAAGCTACTCATTGCCATTAGGTTGGAAAGGACAATGATACCTGCAAACAAACTCTGACGCCTTGCGTGTTGCCTGCAAAAGAGATAAAAAGACATGAAACAATTAGTCATCATGATTCGTACAATTAAAATTTCCTTGACGAATCACGAAGGGGCAAGGTTGATTCGATTTTCAAAAAAAAAAAGAAAAGGTTTTGTTCAAATTGGGCCAATTATACAAGGGGCTGCTACTAATACAAAATAAAATAAAAGGCATCAGGCTTAAAAAAAAAAAAAAAAAAAAAAAAAGAGTTTGTTAAATTTTTTTTAGAAAAATCTGCAACTGCTAAATAAACAAATATGTATTGTTACATAAAAGGGTATAGCAGGTTTTTTCTTTTTAAACAAGAAAGGTCTTGTTAGGCCAAAGGATGCCACCGCATGCAAAATTTATGAGCATGACATCCATGAAGTTAGTATAGGTGTTAAAACGTTCTTCTGGCAGCAACAAAAAAAACTGGCAATAACAAAAAAAAATACAGCCTTTTTTTTTATGAAAGAAGGCAGTAGGTTATGATTCATCCTTTCAAGAAGGGTCTCTGTTGGGACTACTTGGACTTAGGGTCTAGTAAAAAAAAAAAATTGTATGGGAAGGGCTGTCACATGGCAATACACATGATGAAAGAAAATATTTTATGAAGAAGAAAGCATACCCGATTTAAAGGAGTTTAAAGGGATTCTTTTGTGTCTTCTTTAAAGTGTAAGAAGAACAACTTTTGTTGGAAAGAGAAGAAAGATAATGGCTGGAAAGTTGCTGTTGGAAATATGCTGGAAGGATAAAGATTTTCTAGAAACAAAAAATATGCTGGGAGAAACAAAGTTGTAGGAAAAAATATATACGGGTTGCATGCATGAATAGGTGTTATATAAAGTAAAAAGTCTTACTTAAGAAAAGAGTTAGTGGTCTTTTAAAACACTCTAAAGAAGGAAGAGTTTATGTAGGATTTGAAATACTCCAAAGAAGTAAGAGTTTGTGTAGGATTAGAAATCCTACTAATGTCAATCCATCCTATTCCATTTAGACAAACTCCTAAAATATATATATATATAGATATATCTGCTGTAAAAAATCTGATTCTAAAAATTTTAAAAATAAAAATAAAAAAGTGGCAAGTTGGAGGCCCATAAAAGAAAATGCCCAATTAAAAATGGTGGCCTAGAAATGAAAGGTCCATGATGGCCTAGGAAAATCCATGATAGCCTAGAAAAACTCAGCTGTAAAAAATGGTAGCAAGTTGGAGGCCCACAAAAGAAAATGCCCAATTAAAAAAAATGGTGGCCTAGAAAAGGAAAGGTCCATGATGGCCTAGAAAAAATCTGCTGTAAAAAAAATGGTAGCAAGTTGGAGGCCCACAAAAGAAAAGGCCCAATTAAAAATGGTAACGATGGTCTAGAAAAACCCATGATGGCCTAGAAAAAAATCTGCTATAAATTTTTTTTAAAAAAAATGGTGGTAAGTTGGAGGCCTATAAAAGGAAAGGTGCAATTAAATCTTTGGACCTTACCCATGACCCCTTTTATGAAAAAAAAAAAGAAAAAAAGGCCGAAGTCCATTAAAAAGGGGCCTATGCAACCAAAATAATAAAAGGCCCATGGACTATAAGGAGCAATCAACCCATTTTTAAAAAAAAAAATAAAAAAAAAATACAAAGCCTAAAAAGTAGCAGAAAGGGACTAAGGCCAAGAAATAATCCCATCCAAGACCTAAGGAGGATCTAGAAAAAAGTGTCAATTCGTCGTGACTCGCACAGTTAAGAAAATTCACTTGTGCATGTCACGAGGGGGCATTTGTTGGCACATAAATTTCAACCAAATTTATGTTTAAAATTCAAATACAGCCAATGACACACATAGAGCCTATGATAGGAATGTTGTAGATAATCACTTCCTAAAAAGGATCAATATGATCCGTTGAAATACATAAATAAAGCAACGTCGTATCTCAACGATGTTATTCAAGATGCTCAAATGACACGTGAAGCCTACGAAAGACAACACCTGTAGAGCCTATAGTAAGGACACCACACAAGATGAAACCCCAAAGATCAATCCGGTTAATCAGATATAGCGCTGTTATTCAAAATTCAAATGGTGCTATCGTTCAATTTGAAATTCAAATTGAGGATGAGGCATTCTTATCACTTGGATGACCCTCTATAAATACTAGGACCATCACACAAAATCAAGGATCAGAAAATCAGAAGTGAGAAGATCAGAAAGAGAGAGAAAGAAATTAAGAGCCAAAGAAGTCATTACAAGAAAGACGAAGAGAAGCTCAGAGAACTTAAGAGCCTACGCCACAAACGCAGAATGGCGATGAATAGGTAAAAAGTTCCAAACCCAAGAATTGTACTTTGTATTCAAGGGTTCAAACCCATAACAATTTCAATAAAATATTTATTTTTCTTAAATTGTCTTTTGTTGTTTATTTTGTTCTTCATTAATTGGAGGTTTCATTTATAAAATGTGTAATTAACGATCTGAAATACAGATCGGAAATAGGAACCTGCTATTCAAATAATCAACACTGTTTAGTCCAAAAACTAAACAGTGGACATTTGTAACATAAAATTTTGAAATGTGTTGAAACACATCATGTTTTAAAAT